ATTATTACTTTTTTCTTAGCTATAAAATAAGGTTATATTTAGTAATACCCAGCATTAAAAAATGTGTTTTTAACATAATAAAATTTTAGTATACTCTAAAATTCATAAGAATGTCTGATTTGCAAAACAAAATATAAAATACAAATCTCCTTAAATTTATCGTAATAATTCAAGTATTAAACACTAGTAATAAATTGTTAAATACCTAAATCGTAAAATACCTAAATTGTAATTGTTACCCAATGGCCTATGTTGCCTCTGGTATATATATAATAAAAAAACCATCATNTGCCTCTGGTATATATATAATAAAAAAACCATCATAGGGGGTCGCGGCACAGTGGTGACGTGGCATAGTTAGATCAAGTATAATGATATCTGACAGTGATTAAAATCACTATCAAAAAAAAAAACGCTTCGATGCAAATCTTTAGATAGTGTTTAATTTAAAAAAAATGGTGGATTATTCCAAAAGCTACATGATCTGCTAGTTCCTTATTAATATCCTGATTAAGATAAAGTATGTCAAATAAAAAAGGGATTATTAAAAAATATTATTTCTTATAAAAAAATTATGTTGATCCTTACACTTTTCAATATGTTATAGTATTATAAAGTTAAAAATGAAAAAAATAAAATTGAGAATTTTCACACAATAATAGCATTCAGTAGCCATTTTCACCGTGAAGGCAAAATAAACGAGTTTTTTATAATCGTTGCTGACGGTTGAGGAGATATATCGTAACTCAAAAATTAATAAAAAGAAAAAGAAAAAAAAATTGACAAAGATATGATATTGAGAATAGGATAAAATTGAGATGGTTGAAGTGAAAATGAAAGTGAGAATAAGAGTAACTTTTGATTCGGGGTGTGATTCGAGGGTCATAAAATAACATAAATATCGACTATTATTGATTATTAAAAAAAATGTTACCTGATCATTTATTCTCAGTTCTTAGAATATCTTAAACAATAGTATTAATCAATAATTTATGAATAAAATAACACAATTCCATTTAGTTCACAAACTAACAAGTAAAATTTTCGATATTGACGATCACGACGTTCGCGTAACGTAGTCCAGAGCACGATAAGAACAGCTCAAAATAAGGGTTTGCTCTGCCATTTTATAAAATTTTTTTACCACCGAAAATAAAAATAAGCATAAAATACAGAAATTATTATAGCTGAATGGATTATATAAATCATTTTGACATTTTATATATGAGATCAACATTGTTTTTTTTACATAAGATTAGGATTAATACAATGGATTTAATTATTAAAATTAGAATAAAAAAATATGACAAAAAATAATTTATAGATTTCTTTTCGGAAGGAACGATTTTTAAAAATTACTATTAATCAATTTATGATAGAATTGTGTGTATTACAATACAACTAAACAGTGTGTGTTTGTTAAATATTTATTAAAATTATTTTTGTTTGAAAATGATTATGTCCTTCTAATAATTTAATGTATAAATCAGCCACATTATGGTAGTGTCGAGTATATCACCACAGATAGTTCACGTTGGCCCTATAACTGCGAGGGAGCTGTACAAATGTGCTTGATGTGCGCATGCGCTCGTTTGTTTCTGTGCGTAAAAGGTACAACGTTTTGTAATGAACGATTACTGTTCCGTTGACTGTCTGGCTTTTCTGGCTTTCGTAAATGTAGTTTACATTACGTGTAAAATCTTCTCTATCTCTGCACGTGTAGCTGATTTTATACATTACAGGAGCATTTGATGGAAACTTCCTGTGGCCATTGTCGTTCCAGGAAATTTGGTCACATTTTCAGTCTTCGGCTTGTTTATGCTTATATACACGTATACGTATATATTATTTTAAATTTTATTATCATCATCATTTATTAAAGGCAATGCTTTGTCGCTGAAGCCACTCCTCGATCTTTGACGCCAAATTCTTCAGTGAAACAAAGACTTGGAAAAAAAAATTTGATTATCTTTAGTTACAAATTATTCTTGAATTATTTGTTTATTAGATATAAACACTTAAAGTTTCAAATTTTTAAGTTAATATACATGTATAATACACAAGGGATTATAAATACAGGTAGCTAATTGGTTTTTTATGACATTGATATTCGCAGGTACACAGCATTGTTATTATCAATTGTAGTAAGGCACATTGTTGTGAGTTTATAAATACACTAACTGATATACAGAAAGTATATCTATTGATAGTCATAATTGATAATAAACAATCCATGGCTGTGACAGCAATATTATAAAAAATCAATTTGCTACCTGTATTTATAATCCCTTATGTATTATACATGTATATCAACTCAAACATCTGAAACTTTAAATGTTTATATTTAATAAACAAATAAAGTTACTATTTTAATTATATAACTAACTATATAACTATATATATATACTAAAAATTCAAATGCCATTTAATATCAATTTAAAAACTCAAACATTTTATTAAATTCAAAATACGTGTTCTCATTTTAAAAAACAAAGTTGACACCCTTACCAGATATAAAGAATAAACTTAAAAAGTATTACATAGTTAATAATTTAATAATAATGTGTAACTAAATAATATCAAACAAAATTTTATATGATATTGATTTATAACATTGTGATGATTTATGATACATTATGATTTATATGATGATTTTATATTTGTTTATATGATTATTTTTCTGTAAAAAATTGAGTGGGTCATGATAAAAAAATCACCTGTAATATATTTGTGTGTTGTATGTTTTTTCGGTCATAATTAAGTTAAGTTTCTGGGTAAAAGACAAACAGAGGTCAACTGCTATAAGAAAAGAACCCTTGTGTCAACATTTGGTAGCAATGGAGCGTGGTTATTGGATTTGTTGGACAACAGAAAATTAAATATTAAGTTAAGGTAAGTAGCTTAGAACACCGGTTACTACTTGATATTAAAGTTATTTATTAGTTATTTGTATAATTAAACTAAAAGTGTTTACAAGTATTAGTTATTGTGGTAATAACGTTTTAATTATAGATTTTATGAGTATGTTACTTTAGTTATCAAATAATTGTGTAAGTACATTGGAGGTTAAACCTTAATGAAATGATACATTTAATGGCATTTTAGTTGCCTATTAAAAGTCCAAGAAGTAAGACATTATAAGTTGCCTACAGATTGGATCTCGGCGTACTTGTCTTTTTTTTCTTTTAACTATAATTAAATATTTATTTATTTTGAAAAATAATTAAAGTATAATTTATTATATAGAATGCTATCTTTACGTTGTTTTTAAAAAACTTATTTAGAGTATTTCATTGCATTAGTTATTATTTCTTTCTTTTAAATATTTAAAGGACAATTCTACATATTTAGAATATTAAATTTGATTGATTTCAAATAGATAGTTTTTTTATTGATAAAGTGGGGTGTGATTATTATACAATCGGAATAAGAATTTATGTGTATTCACCAGTTGAAATGGATTCGATAGGGTTTACTGAGTTTTTCAGACGAACAATACCATCAAGACCAAGTAAAACCAAGAATTACTACAAAGAGAAGGTCATTGAATGCAGCATACTATTGTAGAGTGGGTCTCTATACAAGACGTCCTTGGTAGTAACTTAATGAATAATTTTTGCTTGAATTAGTTAGGACTAAAAGGTTTTGTTTATATACAGCTAATAGGTAATGTTGTTAGAGATACAACAAAAATGTATCTCCAATTCTGTGTTATTTAAATAACTAGCTTAAGCTAGTAAGCAGCATATTTTTATTTTCATAAAAAAGGCACATATTGACAAACAAGCATGAGTATTTTAATAAAAAAAAACTAACTAAAATATGTGTAAATTCAAAATATAATAATTCTTAAGAACATTGATTCAGCTTTGGATATGAACTAATGTAATAGAACATAATTATAACAAATAGTTTCTTAATAAATTACGATTTAAAAAAGTATAAAAAAGTTTTTTTTAAATTGTTAAAGTAAAATATCAGGTGAGAACATGGGTTCATTAGTGTTTCTAACTACGTTTATTTGTAGAATGAGGATAAACACTTAATTCATTACTTGTATAAATACGTATAAATTGCACTTTTATTGTTTGACCGCACAACATATTTCAGGGGGTCGAATGGTCCAGCGAATACGTCGCAGCGGACGGACAATGACTTTGTTTCGATAATTTTTGTAATAAATCTACTGAATTTTAATATAATTAACCCACACTCGACATAATATATGGTATGGATATAATATATCCCGACCAAATCATATAATGTGTATTAGAATTTTTTATTTTTCCTCTACTTTCTTATGATATAGTAGAACAAGGAAAAAACGCTTTTCTGGGGAAATTACTTAGCGTGCTCGGATTTTCAAATTTTTTTTCCCAGCGAAATTTGTAATTATTTTGTTAATATGTTCAAAAATATTTAATAAAAAATTCACAACAATTGGTATTTTTCTACAATACTTTATCTTATTTGAGAATCAATAAAAGTAATTTATTAGCGATAATCTATGAATAATATTAAAACGTACGATTTATGTAATATGTCAATTAAATTTGATTAATGTAAGTATTATTTGAAACGCTTACAATTTAAATGTGCGTTATAAAATAATCGTATGTACTAATTTAAATTATTTTCAACAAATTTGTCATTGTTTGGTTAATATATTCAAAAAAATTTCGCAAACACTACTATATATTTTTAAATCTAATAAATTCATCTAGTCCCAAGTGTCAACTTATACTGCTGTCCCATTTAAAATAAAAATTAAAAACTATTATAATGATAAATCATACACTTGGTTAAATTTAAAGTTATTATCTGAAAATTTAAAAATAATTTACATCAATTTAAATCCTAGTTTAAAAATTAAATTATTTTTTATGATTAACACAATGACACATCGCTTTTATTATCCAATATTTTTTTCAAAGATATAATTTTTAATATTATAAGAAATATTAATATATTTAAAATAATTAAATTTAGGTTTTTCTGTCAATGCTTAAGTTGAATTATTAGTTTAATGTTTGAAAAATATAACATTAAAATAGACGTTGAACATATTGATTTATTATATTATTTCTTTTATCTATTAAATATTTAATAATACTCAGTATTAAAAAATGTGTTTTTGACTTAATAATAGCCCTATATTCTATAATCTATTACTATTATGATAAAATGTAAATAAAAACTAATATCAAATATAACGTAAAACATTTTAATGATAAATTATTAGCTAAAAATATTAAATTAATAACTGCAAATTTTTTTAATTTCGATATTTTTCTACTACATTTTATTTAATTTGGGAATGAGTAAATAAATTCTACCTTCGTTAATCCATGAATAATTATTTTTAATGTACAACATATTTTTAAATGTCAATTAAATTTGATTAATACATGTATTTTTTGAAATTCTAACAATTTAAATACATTTTTGAGAATTATATTTTACTTTATTCAAAATAGACTAAATTGTTCTATATAAACGATATTAATTTAGCAATAAAAACTTTATTTCATGTTTATTCGATATAATTTATAAATAAATTATATTGCTAGTGCTTGACTTTCATTATTGTTGCTGTTATAATCATCATTAAAAATGCGTTTCTACTTTTGTTTTGGAATTTTACTTTGTTTTATTTCACTAATTACCGGAATGCCAAGCTCAGGTGGATCAACTTCTAACAATCAGGTAAAATGAGTATTCCTAAAAATTATGAATAAAAAAAATGATAATAATTATTATCATCATTTTACAAGATTATTATTTTTTTAATTTTTAAAATATTTTGCAACTTTAGATAGTAATTGTAATAACAAATGAAATAAATGTTTTTTAGGGTGATTCTAGTGGAGTCAATAAGGTAAAACAAGTAATTATAATTATTATTAATTTTTTATATACATATTATAATTGTTTAAAAGTTTGAGTACCTATACAGAATAATTCATTTTAACACTTGACATTCGATTGCTCTTAAAATAATAATTAATAACTTATTATTTAATAAGTTAAAAATATTATTTATTTCATGATTTATCAGTTATTAATTATTTTTTAGATCATCCCATATAACTTATAGGCATTTCAGCTAAATTTTTTGAAGTAGTAACATACATATTTAACTAGCTTATTACATAAAAACCCAGCACGGGGGGATCGCGGCAAAGTGGTGACGTGGCATAGTTGGATCAAGTATAATGATATCTGACAGTGATTAAAATCACTATCAAAAAAAACGCTGCGATGCAAATCTTTAGATAGTGTTTAATTTTAAAAAATTGGTGGACTATACTAAAAGTAACATGATCTGCTAGTTCGTTATTAATATCCTGATTCAAATAATGTATTTCGAATGAAAAAGGGATTATTAAAAATATTATTTCTCATAAAAAAATTATGTTGATCCATACACTTTTCAATAAGTTATATCATAATAAAGTTAAAATAAATGTATAAAATAAATGTTATGTAAAAAATAAAATCGAGAATTTTCACACAATAATAGCATTCGGTAGCCATTTTCACAGTGAAGACAAAATAAAATCCGAAATTTTTTTTTTACATAATAAAGAACATTACATTAGCTTTAATTTAAGATGTACAGGGTGATTTTTTTATCATAACCCACTCAATTACTTGCAGAATAATAATAATTTAAACATTTTTTTTTTTTATTATCTTTAGTTACACATTATTCTTGAATTTTTAACTATGTAATACTTTTTAAGTTCATCCCTTATGCCTTGGAAGGGGGTCAACTTTGTTTTTTTAAATGGTAACACATATTTTTAATTTAATAAAATGTTTGAGTTTTTAATTTAATAGTAAATGGCATTTGAATTTTTAATATAACTTAATTCGTTTATTAGATATAATTATTTAAAGTTTCAAATTTTTGAGTTAATATATAGATATAATACACAATGGATTACAAATATAGGTAGCTAATTGGTTTTTTATAACATTGATATTAGCAGGTACACAGCATTGTTATTATCAATTGTAGTAAGGCACATTGTTATGAGTTTAGTTATGTGTTACACTAACTATACAGAAAGTATAACTATTGATAATCATAATTGATAATAAACAATCCGTGACTGAGACAGCAATATCATAAAAATCCAATTAGCTACCTGTATTTACAATCCCATGTGTATTATACATGTATATTAACTCATAATTTTGAAACTTTAAATGTTTATATCTAATAAGCTAATAAAGTTTTATTAAAAATTCAAATGCCATTTACTATTAAATTAAAAATTCAAACATCTTATTAAATTAAAAATATGTGTTACCATTTAAAAAAACAAAATTGACATCCTTACAAGGCATAAGGGATGAACTTAAAAAGTATTACATAGTTAATAATTCAAGAATAATGTGTAACTAAAGATAATAAAAAAAAAAATTTTTAAATTATTATTCTGCAAGTAATTGAGTGGGTTATGATAAAAAAAATCACTCTGTATATTAAAGTGTCAGACTTTCCGGAACACTTTCAAAATGTAAGTTAAAAAAGTAAATTTTTTGTGAAAAAGTTGCCATTTTGAATCCCCCCTGTAGGCAGGTAAAAAGTCAGATTTATAAAAAAAATATACCAACTGATAGGTAAAGACTTCATGCATCTATAAAAAAAAATTATATTGATCCATACATTTTTTTAAATGTTATAGCATTATACAGTTAAAAATATAAAAAAGAATTTTTTTACAAAAATCGTATTTTTTTTTTGCATAATAAAGAACATTACAATAGCTTTAATTTAAGATATATATCAAAGTGTCAGACCTTCCGGAACATTTTCAAAAGTTAAGTTGAAAAAGTAAATTTTCTGTGAAAAAGTTGTCATTTTAAATCCCCCCTTGTGGGCAGGTTAAGGGTTAAATTTATGAAAAAAATATACCAAATGAAAGGTAATGATATTATGCATCTATATAAAAAAGAATTATATTGATATGTTCATTTTTGAAAAAGTTATGGCACTTTTAAGTAAAAAAATTGAAAAAATTTCGAAAATTAGCGATTTTTAAATTTGTAATTTTTTTGGAGGTTTCCCCC